CAAGATTATAGATGGTAGTATTATCTCTTTTTATATCTAATTGTCTTTCCCTATGTTTCTTTTGGGAACAAAATTAAAGGCTTTTGTTTCACATCTTAATATGCTATGGATTTTAGGGAGAACAAGATGCAACATGAAGACACAAAGTTACTTTAACATTTGGTCTTCAAAGTGAGCTCCCTTGTATTGAGCATTTGAGATCAATTTGCTCTTCATTGCCCACTGTTTAGTCTACCTCTACTTTCAAATTAAAATATTAATATTGAAGTTAGCAATTAGGCATTAAAGGCTCAACTTTTAAGTATAACTTTCGCAGTGCACAAAATACTCATTTGATTTTTCTTTTATGCCTCGAGCCCTTGACTCATGTTAAGAATGCTCACTCTAAATCTTGGCACTAGGTCATTTTATGGTTTCTCTAACAGCTTCTACAACGACACTCTCATGCATGGATGCAAAATGGTCACCAATTCTATAGCATATTAGTTCGTGCAAAATAAGTAAGGTTAATGTCGTATTGAGGGTGATTTTCACGTCATCATGGTACATCTTCAATATGCTACTTCATATTGTTGATCAATCTCTTATGTGCACTATATATTCTTTCACAAGATATAATTTCATATCTATAATGTACCGTGATGAATAAAGATGGTAACTATTGAGAAAAAATATTTGATTAAACTACATGAATGGACAATCATTTTCTTTTATGATTAAGATTGATTTTTTGTGTGTAATGGAAGAAAACTCTTATATTGTCCTACATGAAATACAAAATAATTAGACATAATTTACTTTCTAAATATCTCTATTAGTTGTTTATATTCGTTATTCATTTCTATATATTTGTTTATCCATACCGAGAAAATTACATATTATAAATGCAACAACACATCAAAATATATAATAATCAAACTCTCCCGGCCATGGACCGGGCCCGGTGCTAGTGTTATCGATTTATATTATGAATCTAAAACTTTGTCCTTTCTTTCTCCTGCCAAGTGCAGAAAGGGGTATTTATAGAGTGCTGGTGAAGGCCAAGGTCTCGAGGGCGTGACCCGATGGTTACGGTCGTGACCTGCACGTCACTAGTCTGTGACCAGCCTGTAACGGCGCCGAATCGCCCAAAACTTTGTATTTTCACTTCGTCTTCAAGTTTCAAAATTGCGATCTCCTTCGTGAGATCACAACCGCGATCTTTGGTGTCATGGGTGTGATCTTTTAGCCTTTGAAAAGCTCATTGACCGCGATCCAAGTGTCAAAATCTTTTGCCCACTTGTTGGCTTCTTGCTGAAGTTCGAGGCCTCTATTCACATCGCGAACTCAAGGCCGCAACACATGATAACGACCTAGTCAAGGGTCGTGACTCGCACGAAACTACACCACAAATTAATCCCAACTAGAGTCCAAGTTCTTAAACTCTAGTCGGGTGCAGTATAGAGCAAGTATTTAAATTGTCAACCCGGGCCGATCCATGTACCCCTACTTCAATTGCTTAGGTTGTTATCTAGCAAGCAATTTTTGGGTTTATAGTTAATGGAACTACAAACTCAAAAAGCAAGGAAAAGTAAATAAAGGAAAACTCTAACTAAGGGAGCATCACCCAGGAGTTGCTTCCCCCTAACTAGCTACCAAGACTCGTTGGATTGGAACGATTGATATGGACAAGATAATCGCGAACCGCAGAGGGATGCATATATGGTCGTAGACCACAATCTCAATTGCTAAACCGAGGTAAACATTATAGGCCGTGTCACTCTGCCCTCTCGGTTTAGGCAATCGGTGGTTGACTTACTCCCTCACTCAACTCAAGGGTTGGACGGCTTAATCGCGCTTAACCAGTTTGCTTAATTCAACATTGAGGTTTGCCCTAAATTAACCTAGTTAAGTGGCTTAAAAAGCTAAAGGAAAACCAACTCGATTGAGTCTCCCTAAAAAGGGGGATTTTCCTCTCTAATCTAGGTTAAAGTGGTTAATTAGATTGCTAAACACCAACATGCGCAAATCTAAGGATGCTAAGCATAATTATGCACAATTCTTAGATTGCTAAGCACCAAAATGCTCAAACCTAAGGATGCTAAGCACAAAACATGCACAATCCCTAGATTGCTAAGCACAAGCATGCACAATCAACATGAATAATACCTCAATCATTGAATTAAACAATACCCAATGACAATCATTCAATCTAAACAAGTAATTACAAAGTATTAGTTAGGGATATACAACACCCAAGAGAAAAGAGAGAGTTTCTAGAGGGAAAGAGAGGGATTACAAATTTGAGCTCAAGATCTTCTTCTTCTTCTAGGCTTGAATCTCCACCCAAGCCTCCAATGATGCTCCAAGATCACTCTAGCACACACACACACACACACTCTCTCTCTCTCTCTCTCTCTCTCTCTCTCTCACTAGAACTCCCCTTTGATGCTTTTGGGCAAACCCTAGAGAGAAACCAATTCTTATCCAAAAACCAGCTCTCCTCTCTCTCTCCCCGCTGTTGTCTTCATATTTTGCCGAAAGTGACCAGTTCACGGTAGTGAACAACTAAACGCGCCCGTGAACTCAGTCGTCAGTAACTTCTGGAACCTCGTTGGACTGCTCGATGTTCACGGTTTGTGTCCCATGTTCACGGTCTTCGGAGACCGTGAACTGCCTTGTCCGCCCGTGAACTGTGGCTGTTTCCTGGGACGCCTTCGCTTCACTGTTTGACCTTTTTTCACTTTTTGACCTCCAATTATCCCAAAATTCGACCTCGACCCTTCCACACGTGCTAGGACCTGAAATGTATCGAAACAAGCACAACCTAGCGTGAAATATGTCGAGGAACGATGAAATACTAAGCTAAACAAATAAGAAATGAGGGGTAAAATGTGTACATTTGGTCCCAAATCAGGCCGTGACGTGGCCATTAGTTGTGCTTTTTCTCCCCTTCTTACTCCTATGCGTCCCAATCATGCACGGGTGAACTCCAATCGATTCCCAATCAATCCTAGATGGCTTTAAGTCCTGGAATTTCATCAAAAACACTGGAAAAATGAAAATCCAACAAAGTGGGGCCGATTTCCCCATGAAAACCTTCATATCAAGCTAACACATGCCAAAATGGATGTTTTGCAAATATGAACGAATATAGGCAAACTAGCTTGATATTTGGCTTAGACAAAGTGATTTAGCATGCAAATGTCTCGAGAATAAAGGCCAAATAACACCTATTTTAGGTGTTATCACGTATTATTAAAGAAAACTTTAGCATCGAAAATATGGTATTAGAGTCTTGATGAGTTGTCTACAAGCAGAGAAAAATACAAATGATCTCATTTAGTTCGAGAGTCGAGACAGATGCATTTATCGAGAAATACAAATGATCCTAATAGTTGGCAACGAAATGGTGAAGTTATGTAGCCCAATCCCTAATGGCTAGGGATGGAAATTTGAACCCACCCCGCGCTGGTATTACCTGACTTGACTTGCAATGAGGCAGGTATTAGCCAACTCGCAGTAGCGTGGGGCGGGGAATATGTATCTACTTATGACCTGCCCTGCCTCATTCTTGCCCATTCTATCTCAATTTCTTACAGTATTGATTCATATTTCTCCCATTTTGACTTTCTTCAACTAGTTAGACTTGATCTTTCAACTAATTAGACTCAATTAACATTCTAATATCAACATTTCATTCACAAAGTGTTTGCCCCTTCGTTTTTTCTTAAAAATTAAATTTTGTGTGTATTTTTTTTTTCTAATGACATGTAAGAGTGATCGACCCGCCCCGGCCCGGCCCTTAGTAGCATGGGGCATGGCATGGGTATTAACAGGGCCAGCCCTATGATTTTGGAGGCCCTCTTCAATAAACAAAATGTAGCCCAAATTAATTTTTAAATACATAATAAAATATAAACAAAACATCAATCAATAAATAAAAATCATAACATTATTTAAAAATAATATTTATCTAATATGATTTAAAATAAAGAATGACAATGGTTTAAATAGTAATATGTAATTGAAAAATTGATTACTGGAGAGATTGAATCAAAAGAATCCAAATAGTAACTAAAATGACAATATCAATTAACTAGACTCAGCCGAATAGGTAATGAGAACTTAATTGAGTACTAGATGAAAATAATTATAGAACAATCAAATAGTATAAACAAATAGTAGAGTAAACTAACTTAGATAGAAGAAACTGATAAATTTTTTTTAGAAACTGATAATGTTTTAAGTATAAAGTTAAGTATGTTGCAAGCTATTTATAATTGATTTAATTATTTTTCCTTTTCTACTATTTGTGGCTTGTAGTTAATTATTTCGGTTAACGTGTAATAAATAAATGCGGATTATTTAATTAATTTAGTATTAATGCCTTACTAGTACAAATATATTAATTGATGAAACTGAATTATTTTTACCCCTTAGAAAGTTGGAAAAATGAAGAAGGTTAAAGCAACAAATTTAATAATGCTAATAATGAGGCATCAAAGATCTTACATCTTTTATTCTATTTAGGAAACACACGACAAAATTGAGTTTTGTTGTATGGTATGAAAAAAGTTTAATAAGAAAGTAAGTTTTCCCCTCATGTGATCCGTTCGTTGTTTAGCCTTCAAACTGAAATTTTTTAATATGGTTATTTTAGACCTATAATCAAAACCCAATTCATAAATTTTTTGTCATTTGAAATTCATAAGCGAAAACTCAATAATTCTTAATAGTAATTAGTTATATACATAATGAAAGTCTGGAGGCCTTTTGTCGGAGGGCGTGCTGCTGGTACAGCCTCAAAACCGGCATTGCATATTGAGGTACCCGCCCAATTCCAATCACTACTATTGGCCCGGCGTATCAAACTGCTCAATTCTATAAGCATCTCGAATGTGCTGGTTCACCTAACAGACCAGCCATGGAAGGAAAAGCCCGACAGGCCTTACGTCGTACCATTAGCGATTAGGCTTTGACAAGTTGAAGCGCCACGTAATTGGCCGGCCCAACCCAACCCATTGCCATACCCTTCATTCAGTCGCGGTTCTAATTCCGCGGGGCGGTCGCTTCTTCTCCTTATTCTCTAGTGGTTTTTGTTAGTTAGGGTTTCTCAGAACTGCAGCAGTCGAGTGAGGTTTTGAAGAATCCTGATCCCTCAACACACACCATCGGAGACAGAGGCAATGGATCCTTCATCCCTCAATACAGCTGAATTACAGCATTTCCTCAATGTAAGCGAACTTTAGTCTCCCCCCCAGCAGCCTTATAGCTTCTTTCTTTTTCCTCTTGGTGTCCATAATTTCTTCGTAATTGTTTCTTTCTGTATCGGTTCTAATTTGGCGTTGTTGACCATAATTGCTGTGAATCCAATGGGTCCTACTGCTTCAGAGATTATTATGACCTCTGTTGATCGTCGCTTTCTCGTCTGTGCCTTTGCATAATGCCTCCAGAAATTGTGAAAAGAGAATCCGGCGTTGAATTTACTAGGGTTAGAAGAGACTAGCTGCTGCGCAGTGCTTAATTTAGTCCACGTATCGGTTGCTCTATGGATTGCTGGTTTTTCCCTTTGTCAACTGCATGAGCTACTCTCTAAGCTGTTCTCTGGACTTAGAAACTTGGTGTCTGTGTGTCGAGTATTCTGCTTGTTTGTATTGATTCTGACGTGAGATTAATCGGGCGAGGGGAGGGGGAATTACTGATGTCTTTTTTGTTATGGTTTTGAATTGCAGCAAGAAAAGGAAAGAGCCATGATGAATGAGATGGTAGCGAAGCTCACTAGCGTGTGCTGGGATAAGTGCATAACTAGCACACCCGGAAGCAAGTTTAGCTCAGGCGAATCAGCTTGCCTTTCCAACTGTGCTCAGCGGTACTTGGACTTGACCCTAATCATCATGAAGCGTTTCCAGTCCATGCAGTGAGTGAGTCGAGGGACTAATTAGCTCTCTCATGTCTCCGAGTCTTTTTAGAGCACAAGTGCCTTTTTCTCTGGAGAACCATCTATCCGTTTTGGCGTTGTACTACAATTACATGGATGTCGATCGTTCAGATAATCGAGAACTATAGCTCTTGAAGTTCAATTGATATGTTGCATTACCTACTCTTGTTGCAATTAGTTGTTGGCATAAAGTAGCACGCTCACCAGTCACTGGCCTTGAGAAGAAAGTAGCTAGGGCAGGAATACCAAATTAGTAACCTGGTGACCTTTGGAAAGCAATCAATCGTGATTCTTTGCAGTCTTGGAGATTGAGAATGCTATTCCCACTTAAATCTTTTATCTTCTAGCCTTGCCATGGTTCGGTTATGGGTTGTGTTTGTCTTGGGGCCAAAATAGGTTGATTGGTTCACGGATTGAGTAAAGTAGATGTGATGATGATTTGCAATTTGCAAACCAATTACCGCCACCCTTGCTTCATCATTCACCAGATTGCTCCCTTCTTCAATTCTGAAAGTTCTGCACTTTTAGAAGCTCAAGGAGAAACATACAAATCCAACCCCAAACTTACAAAGTACACTTATTACATCTGAATCTCAGGCATTAACTAGTTCCGTCTCAAGCCGCTAATTATGAACTTCTCCTTCCAATGTAGCCTATGAATCAAAATAAAGTAAAATGAATCATTGAAATTGAGGCAGATGAAAACAACATTGAAGAAGTTAAGTAAGCCTTTGTTTTCAAAGCTTCAATCTTACTATCACAAGTTTGCGAGACAAATCCCGACAATAGTTCAACGAAAAACAAATCCCAACAATATTATTGTGATGGAAAACAAGTTTCATTTGTGATTGTGGCTATCATGATTCACCAATAATCATCCATGATTCCCGGGCAATGGTAGATGGTTCCTTGGAAGATTCAAGAACAGCAACACGACTCTGTTCAACCAAACCTCTTCCAAGTTACACTTGTCTGCTTTCAAAAGGTTATTAAAGTATAAATACATGGTATTACAGAACCCCAGCCGCCAGATTTCGCAGCTTTTTAAGTACCAAATACTTACACACTGTGATGGCAAAGACGAGGAACAATCTCTCCCATTAAAGGAACCCCCACAATAACTTCCTAAGTCCGTTTCCAGGCATCCAAGGCATCGTGGAAGCAAATTACTTACAAGCCAAAAGTGTTGGAATAATGCCACAATAATGGAGAAGAGAAAGAAAGGGGCCCAAATAAACAATTATCAGTGGTTCGACACGACTGCACAAAAAACCAACCCTTAGTTACATAGTTTTCAACACATTCCTTCGTTTGCTTGGCCTGCTCTTTCATTTTCCTCTCTTTGCCAGTTTTGTACATTTCTTACCTTGCCTTCCGCTTCATTATCCTACTCCATTGAGTTTCTACTTTCTCCTCTCTTCCTCCTTCGTTTGAGACTGAGACCGTTGGATCTCAGGTGTCAACATACTGTCGTGGTCACTTTCACCGGCCACCTGCTTCTGTGGTTCCTCACCTCCAGCTGTGGCTGCCGCGAAAGCAAGAACATCAGGCGGTAAGTCCAAGCTACCGCTTCTCCTTCCCAAACTAGACCTTCTGGAATGCAACACGCTCCGCCCATCCATGCTTTGTGCAGGAAGCATCCGACTGAAGTCTGGAGAAGAAGAAGCATCCTCATCTTCATCACCGTACGAGTCACCACCATTGTTGTCTACGAGACTGCCATCCCCTCTCCCAGGTCCCTCATAATCATCCCTTCTATCAGATACATCCCATCCTGGCTTCATCCCCCTGTCTAGGTCCCCGGATGACTTTTCCATATCCACATTGCCCAAACTGGCCCCAGCGCCTACAAGTCTAGGCGGCACTTGTACTGCCTTAGGAATTCTTGCCCTGAAGTTGTTCTTCGATGGAGCAATCCTTGAGAAGAAAACCTCCTTGAAGTTCTCAACAACACCCTGGTCAAATGGGTTTGGGAGACCATCGTACCGGTATCTAAAATTCTCGTAAGTGGACTGTTGAAACACAAGGAAGTTGAGATGTGAGGAAGCAACAGTAGTAAGACAAGCGTTAAAATTTGAGAAGTTAGATTGATGTTGTACCTGGTTTTTGCTGATGAGGTAGGTATGGAACATAGTGAGACCACCAACAAACCATACTGAAATGAAGGTATAGACTACAAGTGCAATGGAGGCTGGGGTTTTGGTCATGGCTTTCCATATTGTTATCTGTTCACTGTCTGCTATCCGTCTAATGTACACCCAGCTAAACCCGTGTACGTACAAGCAGAGCACAGTTGTAGTGAATACAAACATGTAGAAGAACCGATAGTTTCGCTGCACCACAAAAAAAGGGGGGAAACACAACTCAGACCAGAAAAAAGAAGGAAAAAAACAACTGAAAAGGCCAGATGAAGAAGCAAGAGGACAACAGGATTATGATACAGAAGGTAGATGATTAATACCAATCCAATGCATTGGCCAACCCAAGGGCAGTGATGGTCGAATCTCTGAACACAGTTGTTGCATATGGAGCAGTGAGAGCATCGAGGTGGCCTGTAAAGCATGCAAGTATCACAGTACTTGGTTTTGACAACGATCCCATTGACAAGAACATCTCTAGTCCGTGGCAAACGGAATGGTGGGGTTAGTCGTGCAAGCCCTTCGTTACCTTCTGGCTCTGGCGGGTGAGAATTCCTTGGTATTATACCAGGATCTCTACCTGAAGTTAATAGAAGAAATACCAAGTCCTGGAGTAAAAAGAAAAAGAAACACATCCATCAGTTAGACAAACAGTAGGTCACAACTATATTTGACCCTCTCTCACATCTACTCTAATTCTCAATTGGGATGAATCCAAATCAAACAACATAAGACAATGGAGTAATGAAGGAGAGGAACTCACGAGAGCAGTTAAGAAAGAAACGATGGCGAGTATTGATATCCCTGAATGATGAGGGAAATCGTCCATTAACTTGCGTCCCACAAAGATGCAGAAAACAACAGCAGGAGCACCAATCAGCAACATGGTTAGGGCCAGTGATCTTGCATCTGGTCCAAATATAAGCCTTCCACCGAAAACAAATATCTGCAGACAAACAAACATGGCTAGAACATTCATAAAAAAAAAAAAAAAAACATGGCTAGAACTGTTCAGCAGAAGATCAACACCTTCAACACAAACATAAGTCACAAGTTACGATTCAGGAAGAAAAGCTACACCACAAACTTTTAACATAAAAAAAAAGAGATCTTGATACCCTCACACGTTAATCATTTGCTTTGGCACCACAGTTTGGTTGGTTGATTAACCAGACTTTTCAGATACAGTAAAGTTGAAGGTGCCATAATTGGATCGCCGGATTCCTTTTAGGGAAATAAGGGCACGGCTTTGTGAAGAAACAAGGAGATCGAGAATCTATGTGCTATAACAACAATAGAAGTTGAATTTGGAGCCGGGATTAGCTTCTATTACTACCAAGTAAACAGAGGATCTGACTTCCAGAGCTGGACGAAATTCCCCGGGGGGGGGGGGGGGGGGGGGGGGGGGGGGGGACCAGTAAAATGATCATAGCATCAACAAATACAGCCCCAAACCCAATCTAAACCGGTAGCAGCAGCAATCGGCCACCTGACCTAAAACTATGGCAGCAAAACAATCAGATCAAACATATTTCCCATCTGAAATCTGGATAAACAAAACCCTAGTTTTTAATTTATAAAACCAGTCCATATCACACCAAAACCATACCGGAGAAGACCAATCCGTCGGTCCAGACACCTTGATGGAAGTAAAACACCAAATAAACAAGCCATGGAAGAATCAGGAAGAAGAGAAGAGGTGGGTGGGATAATTTACTAACATTACTCCCTTTCCAAGCCTGATAAACTCTGGGGCGATCCTTGTCCTGGTCATCAACGTCATCGCCGCTGGCGCCGGGATGAGCAGTAGCAGACGGATCGTTAGGAGGCATGGGAACAGGATACATCTCTCTCTCCCTCATCATCATCTTCTTCTTCTTCTTCTTCTTCTTCTGTTTGAACTTGTTTCTGTTACTGCTGAATTATTTGGTCTTTTTTCCTCTGAAATAAGCCAAATCAGGACGCAACCAGCCACATAGAGAGATGACGGCAAAGAGGTCAAACTCAAACCCACCCAAAACTTGTCGTGGGTTCCTCTTCTCTTCTCTTAAGTCTTAACTTCTGCTTCTCCTTCTTCTTTAGGAATCCGTAAAGAAATTATGCGGAAAAGTGGCTGTGAAAGGTTAAATGCTTGTCATCAAAGGCGGCTCCTTTTCCATTTCAACCCACCACACCACACACCACAGTAAAAGGGAAAGTAAACGTTGGGAGAGAAGGAAATCCAGCCTGTGCTGTGGCTGTGGGGCGGGGGAGGGAAAAAGGAACGAGACGACTAGTAAAACTAATAAAAACAATAGCTACCTACCAAACAACCAAAACGCCAAACCCAAGCCTCTGTCTCTTTTATTTATTAATTAATCCTTTTTTTCCCCACCCCAAAAAGCAAAAGAAGGAACCGATTCAAATTCGATTTAATCAATTTTCATGAAAGTGGGCGTCACACGCTCTACGCATCATTACGTTAATTCTTAATTATTATTAGTTACCAATATTATAACGCTAAAATGAATTGAATATTCGTTTCAAGAAAAGAAAATGGAGAATATGAAGATCCCATTAGGTGTCCAACCGAAACTCAACCACCGGGTTCTGGACGTTAGTAAATGGGTCGCCGTCCAGCCGGTCAACTGTATAATAGAATAGACATTAGACAAAGAGGACTATTCATTCATTCATTCATCATTTAATTAAGTAAGAAAATTAATAGGAAAAAGAAAGAAAAGAAAAAAGAAAAAGAAGAATTGTTCCTCATTTTAATTTTCTGACAACGTATATACATATATTCCCCTATGGTCAGTGCAGTGGGTTTAAAATACAACTAAAAAATTAATTACTACATACAAGGAATCGGTCACGGGAGTTGGGGTTGGGGATTCCAAGTTTGGCTGGATTTTCGGCTGACTTGGCGCCTTCCCCTTGGTCAAGTCTCCTTCATCTGTATTCATCGCCGGCCTCACACACTTTTGTAGCGTTGAGGTCAAGTTACTTTCCGGACGCGATCAAGAACATCGACTTAGCCACATCTCGGGGTAATTTCAGGTGACTACGTGACCCTTAGTCATGTTAGTGATTAAGTGAATCTCAGCTTTTGAACCACATGTAAATCTAATTAATCTAAAATTTAATAAAGAGTAATATGGTAATTGTGGATTTTGTAAAATTTTTAATTATTAAACAATTTAAAATGTATCGACCTCCTCTGAAGAAGGGGAGTTCTCAATATGCTCCTCAAGTAATTGGGAGTCCGACACTGAGTTTTGCTGAAGCGGTAAAAGGGTCACCAGTACAATCTGGGAGTCATGTTATCTCTCAGTCTGAGATTGAGCAATCTAACTCACCAGTTGGGAGGTTAGCTTCTCAGTCTACTCCTGTTGGTAATGAGAAAAATCCATGGATCACAGTTGGGGGGAATTCTGCAAAGAAGAAACCACATGTTCCTCCTGCTAAGAAGGGGGGAAAAGGAGGAAAGAAGAGATGAAGATCCTTTCTTGGAATACCAGAGGATTCAAAGACCCTGATAAGAATAAGGCAGTTCAGCTGCTAGTAAATAAATATAATATAGATATAGTTGGTATATTGGAGCCAAGAATCGGAGTTAGTGAGACATATGCACTAATAAGTAAGAGATTTCCTAGATGAGAGAAGAAAGTGATAAGTAACTCAAATGGTTTGGGGAAGTTGTAGATTCTATGGAAGCAAGACGTCCACATGTGTATTCTAGATAGCACAGATCAGTTTGTTCATGCTTTGGTGAGCTCAGGTTCTCCCTTCTTTGTTACCTTTGTTTATGCATAGAAAGAAATTATATAGTGATCTTGTAAAGTTAAGGGTTGGGAATGTTCCTTGGATAATCTGGGGGACTTCAATGCCATTAATGGTCCTGAGGAGGCCTCAAACAATCCAGCTCCTAATAGTAGTATTGAAGATTTTAAAAATTGGCAGAATCTGGCTGAAATAGTACAGCACAAATCTTCAGACCCTTGCTTCACCTCGATCAATAAGCAGAAGAGTAACCCTATTGCAAGGAGACTAGATAGAGCATTCATTAATTTGAAATGGCTAGATGCAATGAAGAACAGTGTTGTGGATCTTTTAAATCCTTTTGTCTCTGATCACTATCCCATTCTTCTAAATACTGACAGTAAGATCACATCTCTGCTAAAACCATTTAAATTCTTCAAGTTTTGGACTTCACATCCGAACTTTATGGACCTTGTTAAAGAGGCTTGGAGTGCTGAGGTCGAGGGTTCTCCCCTCTCTAGAGTTTGTAAGAAGCTAAGAGTTCTAAAGAAGCTCCTAAAGGAGCTGAATAAAGAGGAATTTTCTTATCCGAGAGAGCGCGTGAAGTTAAAAGAACTGGCATTGCAAAGTGCTCATGTTGATGCATTAGTAAATCCTTCTTCTCATTCTTTTAATCATGTTAAAGATTGTGAAGTGGAGTTGAAAGTTTTAAGACAAGCAGAAGAATAATTCCTTAGGCAGAAGTCTAGGGAGATTTGGCTTAAAGAAGGGGATTCAAACTCCTCTTATTTCCATAGCTCTGTCAAGATTCGAAACCATAGGAATACCATCCGATCTCTTATCAGTGAATCTGGAGAAAGAGTAGTTGATACTAAGAACATGAGTGAGGTAGCTGTGAGATTCTACTAGAACTTACTTGGCAAAGTTGATCCTAATGTGAAGGCTGAGTTAGTGGACTTTTATAAGGGTTTGTTGCAGAAGACTCTTCCTAGTAGCCTTGCCACTGATTTGTGCAGACCTGTCACTTCAGAAGAGATTAAGAAGGTTATGTTTGGGTTTAAGGGTGAAAAAAGCCCTGGTCCAGATGGCTATTCAGCATGCTTCTTCCATGCTGCATGGAGTATAGTGGGGGAAGAGATCACTGCAGCTATACAACATTGTTTCAATTTCTCTGAGTTCCCTTTGGAGGTAAATTCTACTCTCCTTGCCCTGCTCACTAAAACTAAGAACCCTGAGGAAATGAATAACTTTAGACCAATATCTTGTTGTAACATTCTTTATAAATGTATAGCTAAGATCATTTCCTCTAGGCTTAGTGAATGTTTGCCTCATTTAATCAGTGAGAATCAAACAGCTTTTGTTAAAGCTAGAATCATTGGGGAGAACATACTGCTTGCTCATGAAATGGTCCAAAAATATGGCAGGAAAAATATGTCCTCTAGGTGTATGGTTAAGGTGGACCTAATAAAAGCTTTTGACTTTGTTGATTGGAACTTTCTCATCAGTGTGCTTGAAGCTATGAATATCCCATTGGGTTTCATTAAATGGATTTCAATGTGTGTATCTACTCCAAAGATCAGTGTTGGGTTTAATGGAGGGGTTGTTGGGTATTTCTCAACCAAGAAGGGTTTAAGACAGGGAGATCCTCTCTCCCCATGTCTGTTTGCTGTTGCAATGGAGGTTTTCAGTTGTTTTATGAAAAGGGCAGTGAATGATGATAGAATGCCTTTTCACCCTATGTGCAAAGGTGTAGGCCTAACACACCTAATGTTTGCTGATGACTTGTTGCTATTTTCTAATGGGTCGAATTATGGGATTCAATGCATTCAGGATGTCCTTGAACAGTTTAGACTTATATCAGGTCTTGTTTCAAATCCAGCAAAGTGTGAACTTTACTATTGTGGTTTACCTAAGGAATGGCAGGAAAGTATGGCAACTAGAGCTGGTTACCAGCTTGGTTCTTTCCCTGTTAGGTACCTAGGTATTCCCTTAATTCCTGGAAAACTGACAACTAAAGCATGTCGTCCTCTAATTGAAAAAATTGCTAAACGGATCCAGAACTGGGGGAGTGAAAACACTGAGTTATGCAGGTAGGCTTCAATTGGTTTTTTCTGTGTTATACAGTATGGTTCAGTTTTGGATGGCAGTGTTCATATTGCCAAAAAGAGTGATAGTTGATATTGAGAAGATGCGCAGTGATTTTCTTTTTGGGAGTGGGCCAGAAAGGTAGGAAGAAAGCAGTGGCAGCTTGGGGAAAGTTAACTTTTCCTAAAAGAGAAGGTGGTTTGGGGTTAAGGGACTCGAGGAGCTGGAATCTTGCTTGTATTGTGAGGCACATATGGGATCTCCTTACTAAACAAGGGTCCCTATGGGTGGCCTGGATCTGGGAATATAGACTTCATGGGGTTGACTTTTGGGACTCGACTTGTAAGTCTGGTTCATGGATTTGGCTGAAAGTGCTTAATACAAGAAGTTTGGTTCGCCATAAGTTGTCTGTGCAAGATGGTGAGGAGTCCTGGAATGGGAAGATACTAAAAAATTTCTCTACTAAACAGGTTTGGAAAGAATTAAGGCCACAAGGCACTACTGTTCCTTGGTTCAAACTGATTTGGAAAGCTCTTGTCATCTGTAGGAATCAGTTCTTAAGTTGGCTAATCATCAGGGAATTCACTTCCACTTGTGAAAAAATGGTTGAATGGGGTTTCCAAGGGCTCACAGCATGTGTCTACTGCCACTGCAGAATTGAGTCTCACAATCACTTGTTTGCAGAATGTTTCAAGTATAGTTCTATGTTCCATGGACTTTTCTCTAAATTTTGTAGCAGAACTCTCTCAAATTCCTGGTATGTTGAACTCCAATGGGCTATGAATTCTTTTTCAAATACTGCCTCTCATTCAAGAGCAGGAAAAGACATTTGGCAATCCATGATAAGTAATATTTGGCGAGTAAGGTGTGCGGCAAGGTTAAGTGGTTCAGTCATGAGTTTAAATGAAGCTTGCAAGCTAATAAAGGAGGAAGTGCAAATTGTTAATGCAGAGAATGAAATTGCTGCTTTCTTTTGAGGAAATAACATCTCTCTTTAGCTTATGGTTCTTGGCTACTAACAGATAGCTAGTATACTTTGAGTTGTATTTGTGTTTCTCATCTTTCCTCAGTGGTAGGGGGTGTTGCCACAAGGTACTCTTGTTTTTTTTTATGATTAATTGATAACTAACCATTCATAAAAAAAAAAAAGTAAGCCACATCCCGTCCCCTTCCCAGGGGCGGAGGCAGCTTGTTAGGAGGGGGTGCCTTGGCACACTTTTGCCTTGGGAGAACAAAGTTAAAAGAGTATATTAGATTGTTTTATAATGAAACCTTGTACATGGAACCACATTCTTATTGTCACAATATCACTAGGTGAACTTATTGTGCTAGTATTTAACTATGTTTTCCTTTTCAATTTTAATCAAAACTTTTCCTCTCATACATGGTCGTTAATTCGCTCAATTCTACCTTTTCATTCAACCGACTTTCATAGGCAATCCATGAGCACTAGAGAGTCTTTACCATAACCCGCCATGGATTGTTATGATTAACAAAATTATGAATCACAAGTCGATAGGATATATTGACAATAAGGTCTTTGATAGTTTAGATGAAGAATATATAATTTACAAGTTTTATTAGAGTAGAAAAATATTGTGAGTCATTGCAAAAATTAATAGGTTCTCATATAAAATATATTTATTTTAAAAAATTGGCACCCTCTTATAGAAAATTCTGGCTACGCCACTACCCTTTTCTGCCGCACAGATGTCCCGTCCCGCCAACCAGGGGATTTTTCCTTTGCGCCTTTTCACGAGAGAGAGAGAGAGAGTATTTT